ACACAAGGATAGAAAGATTTTTAAATGCAGCAGGATCTGCTAGGATTCCTTCTCAAATTCCTGAAATGGTTGTTACAGAAACACTCTTTGTCATGCTGGTGCACATGAATGCTTGTAGATTATGGATAACTAAGGAGATGGTACTTTAGGAAGTATTTCTTCCCTCCTCTCAGGGAAGATGAAGCCTCTAACAGATGCTGTTTGAGACTAGAATGAAATGTGGTCTACATTCATTCAGTTTAATCTTCTTCCCGTGCCAAACACAAAATCCAATTCTAGACCTAGAAAGCAAAAAAAAGACCACAGACATATGTCTTATACTTTTCCAGATCATAGTCACTGTCTATTGCAAGGGTTTTAAAATTGTTTAGACTACAGAACATTTTCAGCCCCAGTGGCATTGTGGAAGAGTAAATCCATTTACAGAGGAATATTTTTATGCCCCAATTTGAAAGGAAAATCAAAAGAAGAAAATAGAGTACAAGGATGAACCATGCAAGAACATTTACAGAAGATATTAGCTTAATCAGAGACGATACAAGTAATCAAATGCAAGAAAGCGATTTTTCTAGGGATTGTAAGAGATCATTTGGAGAAAAAGACAACCAACCGTTGGCCGTATACCACCTCCTACTGGACATGAAGTGATTCGTTCCTCAAATGAAAGGAAGCCTTTAAAAGCCACATTGTTCTCTCTAGCGCTAATTACTGGCTGGCTCACAGAATCACAGAATCACTTAGGTTGGAAAAGACTTTCAAGCTCATCAAGCCCAACCATTAACCCTACTCTACCAAGTCCAGCTCTAAGCCATATTCCCAAGCCTCACATCGAGATGACTTTTAAACCCATCCAGGGAAGGTGACTCACCCACCTTCCTGGGCAGCATGTTCCAATGTCTGACAACCCTTTCAGTGAAAAAAGTTCTTCCTAATGTCTAGTCTAACCCTCCCCTGATGCAGCTTTAAGCCATTTCCTCTTGTTCTACTACCAGTTACTTGTGAGAAGAGACCTGCACCTGCCTCTTTACAAGGTCCTTTAGCTGAAAACACTTTCAGGTGGTTGTAGAGGGTGATGAGGTCTCCCTTCTTCAAACTAAACAGCTCCAGTTCCCTCAGCCACTCCTCATAAGACTTGTTCTCAAGGCCCTTCACCAGCTTTGTTGCCCTTCTTTGGACACACTTCAGCACCTCAATATCTTTCTTGTATTGAGGTGCCCAAGATTGGACACAGTATTTATAGAATCATAGAATGGTTAGAGTTGGAAGGGACCTTAAATATCATTGAGTTCCAACTCCCATGCATGGGCAGGGACACCTCCCATTCGAGGTGTGGCCTCACCACTGCTGAGTACAGAGGGACGATCACCTCCTTGGTCCTGCTGGTCACACTTATTATTGACGATCTTGATAAGGACATTGGGTGTTGGGCTGATGTTAATGCTCTGAGCTTCAACAAGGCCAAGTGCTGGGTCCTGCACTTGGGCCACAACAACCCCAGGCAACGCTCCAGGCTTGGGGAAGTGTGGATGGAAAGTTTCTGGCAGAAAAGAACCTGGGGGTTCTGATTGACAAGTGGCTCAATATGAGCCAGCAGTGTGTCCAGGTGGCCAAGAAAGCCAGTGGCATCCTGGCCTGTATTAGAAATAGTGTGACCAGCAGAAGTAGAGAGGTGATTGTCCTCCTGTACTCAGCACTGGTGAGGCCACACCTGGAGTGTTTTGTCCAGTTTTGGGCACCTCAATTCAAGAGAGATATCAAGGTGCTGGAGCGAGTACAGAGGAGGGCAATGAAGCCAGTGAAGAGCCTAAAGAATAAATCTTATGAAGAATATTTGAAGGAGCTGGAAATGTTTAATTTGAGGAAGAGGAGGCTGAGGGCAGACCTCATCAGTCTCTACAACTACCTGAAAGGTCATTGTAGAGAGGTTGGTGCTGGTCTCTTTTCACAGGTAATCAGTGACAGAACAAGAGGGAATGGTTTCAAGCTGCAACAGGGGAGGTTTAGATTGGACATTAGGAAATTTTTTTTCACAGAAAAAGTGGTCAGACACTGGAATAGGCTGCCCAGGGAGGTGGTTTAGTCACCATCCCTGGATGTGTTTTAAGGGTCATTTGGATGTGGTGTTGGTGGATATGGTTTGGGGAGAACTTTGTAGAGTAGGTTGATGATGGTTGGACTCAGTGATCCCAAGGGTCTTTTCCAACCTGAGTGTTTCTATGATCTTATGATTCTGTGATTCTACAGAGTAGGCAAAGACAGTTTGCTGAAAAATAATCAAAATTAACTGCATTGTATGCAGTGCCTATATTATTGGGGAAAGTAGCTTTGGAAAAGTTAGGTAAATTGCTTCGAATTTAAATGTCCATCTGACATACATTTTCACAAATATATTTTCCTATATTTTCAGTCCTTGTTTCCTTGAGACCAGTATTGTTTTAAAGAATAATTCTGTCTTCCCATACTCTGATAATTCTGAAATACTGGTTTTCAATCTCATAAAAAAATCTATTAATATGGTAGGCATATAAATTATTACTAACCGTATTAGGTTAGGTTTTACAGATTATTATATATATGTGATTCACATACATTTCTCTCCATGTAAAATCAACCGATGTATCTTGTTAAGTAATACTAATACTGAGGAGAACAGTGAAAGGACGCCTGTCCACTAGGTTTAAAAATAGAAAATCCAAGTCATCCTGTTCATCTGGGACCGGAAAGATAATTTTATTGTAGGTTTCCCATTTTTATTTTCTCTTACTCAAGTTCTAGTGATAATTTCAGTATTTGTCACCAGGTGGCACTGCAATGACGTTACCTTGTACCCACTCAGTGCCCGAGCAGTAGCTTAATGAGGTCGTCACCACATAATTACAAAGTATGAAGCACTTCAGATTGCATTGATCACTTATTTCTCCACACTGTTACATTATATCACCAGGCTTGCTGGCACAGCTATGACAGCTACTGTTTTTAATATTCTTAGTCAATGTAACTTTGTAGGAAAAGTGCTGTAGTGGAGACCAAAACCTACCCTAAGCTTCATTTTTCCCGATGCCATGAGTAATACTTCTGGCAAATTCTGTCTTTAATGGCAAGAGATGAAGAGCAGCAGCAGCTCCCACCTGTGTCAGGTCACGCACAGAGACGTGCCTCAGTTCCCTGGCCCTGCACGTCTGAATAGAATCCCAACATCAGGTCATTACCCACTGCTTACTGCCTTCCCTGCTTTTTTGGTGCAGAATGTCATGCTTTCCCTTGTTTTTCTCCTCCTCCCAAATGGAGCATCCCCCTCCATGTCCTAATTTACCTCTCAGCTCTAGTGCTCCCTGACATCTGGCTGGAACAGCCTAGCAGAACTCCTCCCATTATATGAGTTGCAATTGGTAAATAATAAAAAAGTAAATGGATGTTTATATCAGAAGGAAAGCATTAGAACAAGTACTTCAAGGTGTCTATTTTGTCTCCTTTCAAAACTTTTAATTTTTTTTTAATAGTGTCACTGGCAATTGACAAGCCACAAAGATTCTGGGCAGTTAGGTAGGAGATGAACTGTCTGGGGTTGTCCTGATGAAGGAGTAAAATGTGAAATAACATATTGTAAATTAAGGTGAGGAAGAGACTGAGCATAGCAGCTATCAGGTTCTCTTCATATATAACCCTAAAATGTTTGGGCAATATGTAAATTGCTCCTCTCAACAAAGTTTAAACACAGTGCAAGTACACCTGTTATGTTTATACCATAAGTCTCACTAATGAAGGTAAGCTATGAATGTGTAAGCATACTAAATATTTATTTATTTTTAAAAAAGATATAATAGTAATTTTCTTTTTTTTCTGGAAGTTGGAATTTTATTGATCTATTTTACTGGACCATTATTTACTATTGAGATGTTACCACAGTTAAGAAAAGGTAAGAAAAATAGAATTCATAGACACTCCTTGCTGCCTCTATTGACTTTTTTTATAGTACACAGGAAATCATGGTTATATATTTGAATGGTTGTAGCTTTTATTACTAACCTGGTTTGAAAAGCTGTGTCTGAAAGCCATGGCAATTTTATTACACAGCATTGACAATAACTTAACAAGCAGAATACTACACATCTGCTTTTTCCCACCTACTGAGCTTTCGCTCTCTGCAAAGTACAGTCACATCATGTCTAGCATATATTGCACTCCCTCTACATGGCTACTAGTTTTAAAAAGCTCTTAGTTTGCTGTGGGTAATTCATTCCTTTTTAGTCTTAACACTTGTTACTGAATCCTAAATATACCACAAACCATAGCTCTTTTGACAGTAAAGGTGATTAAGCTTTATGGATCCTATACTGCTAATACCTCTCTCATGTTCCTACACTGCCTGACTTCCTGCCTTTGCTGTGAGTAGATACCTTTCCTTCACTATCTGTATTTTCTGATTTTCAAAGGTTTAAATCTGTGTTTAGTTCGATGTCCTAACAATAGGCTGATAAGTTATTACGTGTGGTGTGGGAGTTCATGTTTTCTCGAGATCCTGGTCCAAGCTCAGATACAGGAGGAAAGGGACTGAAACCTTTATTGTGCCTCAAAAAGAAAAACAAGACAGAGGAACTTAAAATACTCCCCAATGGACATGGAAATCCCTGAGCAGTGGATTCATGCCTGTTGTAGAAGCAACTTTTTCTTGAATACCATGCTTGACATTGCTTTTTCAAAAGAGTAGTAGATGCCATGCATTAGCTGAAGTAACTTAATCACGTGAGTTTATCTGGACTTTTTCCATTATATAGTTGTATTAATAAAACAAAGAATACAGTCATTTTTTCCTGAAGTCTTACTCTGTTTTCTTGGAATTCCCTTGCATGATGCTAAGCTGCTTGGGCACCTGAAGCACTCAGGCTACTACAGTAATGAACCAAGAACTGATTATTACCACGAGTAGCAGGACACTCCACCTCAGTGCACCTGCCTCAGTTTCCCTTTGTGATTCAATTGCTCTCTGTCTCTTTTTACAGGCCCAGGCCTGAAGTGGAAAGATTCCCGTGGGAGAGGAGAGGGCCTAGCAAGCTCTGAACTGATAACAACTTTTGAAATACAAATGGAAGGCCAAGTTGATGTCTGTAACTCCAGCTACTCTCGTGTCAAAGAACATGGAGCTCAGCCTCGCCGCAGCTAGGCCAGAGACAAAACAAGAATGCATAGTTGGCTCGGTTGTTGAGACCCCAGTGCTGTTTGTAATAAATCTTGTTTTGTGCATGTACATCTCGGCTGCTGCGCTGCCCCCGTGGGACAGGGGCCTCTGTGGGCCCGGGCAGGCTGGTGGGCTCTCTGTCTGAGAAACTGCCTTCCAGTTCCGTTTCTGGCTGAAGCATCTGGCAGGTGGGGAGAAAACCGTAGTCTTGTGCTGCAGATGGCAGATACTGGTCCCCAGAGAAGAAACGTTCACACCTCTCCACAGTGATTACCTCTATAATGAGAATAAATCGTTCCGTGAGCAGCAGATGCAGCAAGGCCTCTCTCCACTCAGTCTCCCCCATCTAACTCGGTGAAGGCTTTTCCCTGCGCTGCCAGCGGGTCCCCCCCTTCACCTCTGCCGCCCTGCGGGGCCGGGCGTTCCCTGCAGCCCCCGGGTTACGGCTGTTCCCCCCCGCACCGAGACACCCCGGGCGGGGCGGCGCCGGGAGGGTCTGTGAGGGGTCTGGGAAGGGTCTGGAGGGGTCTAGGAAGGGTCTGT